GAGGGATCGGGGCGACTGCCGCCAGCCCCTTCTCCCCCGGGCCGAACGCTCGTCTCAGCGCCGGGCGGTTGCTGCTCACGCACCGTCATGACTTCGCGGGGTCGCCAGATGTTCCCTGCAAAAGAGAAAAGCTGAGCCAGCCCTTCCCCCGGCGTTTCCAACATCCACTCCAAACGCAGGGTTCTGCCTGACACTTGGGAAGCAGTGGGAGTGCCGCTTCCTCCTGCTCCCTGCGCTCATTCCCTTTTTCCATCCCGTGCCCATTCGTACGCACCCGAATCGGCATTTTCCCTGGTACCGGCATTAACAGCGCTCCCGGCGCGACGAGGGGCTGCGCTTTGGGCACCTCCATGCTGTGTGGTTACTTTAAACACCTGCTTTAAACAAGACAGGCTCTTTGTAGAACACTTTCTACTTTTAACATGCAGAAGGTGCTGGGAAAAAGAGTCTGGAAGGGGGGACAGACCCCGGTGGGGGGTGGCAGAAACGCATCTTCAGGCTTCCATGCCGTGGCCCAAGGCCTGGTGCAGAAATTGCCCGGTCGGACACGCTGCGCTTTCCTACAGCTCCAGCTCTGGCTTGGAGCGAGCTGCGGGGGGGCGCCCATTCAGAACCGTCTGCGTCCCAGGCCTACGCTGTTTCAGCTTTGCACGGACTAAACCCGAACAAGGAAGGGTTAAAACTACCCTCGAGATGTGTGTTTGAAACAGTCCCATATCTTGTCTGTAACTGACCTGTACGGCAGTCTGCCTCTTCGGGTTGAGAACTGTCCCCAGGTCTACAGGCTGTACCTGCTTTTTGTTTCTTAGGGAACGCTCGAGCTTCATCATGGGAGCAGTAGTCGCCGACGATGGTCCGTCTGGTGTCAAAGCCCCTGACGGAGGCTGGGGCTGGGCTGTCCTCTTCGGCTGTTTTATCATCACAGGATTCTCCTACGCCTTTCCGAAGGCAGTTAGCGTCTTCTTTAAAGAACTCATCCGGGAATTTGGCATTGGATATAGTGACACTGCATGGATTTCCTCCATTCTGCTGGCCATGCTTTATGGAACAGGTAGGTAGTGCTCTGGTTTTGAAGCAGCGTGTTTGTAAGTCATACAGCCACTTACAGCCTGAGCCGGGAGTGCACATCATTCCTTGTGTGCCGGTGAGGCATTCCAAAGAATTGCTATGCAGCACAGAAATCCCAAAGTTATCCACGCACATCCAGCTTGCACGTACAATCCAATCTCTGTAGCTCAGTAGCTGGTGAAGACAATGAGAGTTTGCCATCTGGAGATGAGAGTAACTGACCGTAGAGGAGAGAGCGCTTCCGGGTTGTCCTGGCACTATGGACACAGTATGGAAAGAGCCACGGCATCATTTAGGCTGGACAAGCCCTGTAAGATCCTTGAGTCCAGCCGTAAAGCCAACACCGCCATCTCTCACCAGGGAAGAGATGCAATGTGACATCAGCTGCAAAAAGTGGTTTATCTCAGCAACTCTAACTCGTTCTTTTTGCCCAGGTCCCCTCTGTAGTGTGTGTGTCAACCGCTTCGGCTGTCGCCCCGTCATGCTGGTGGGTGGCCTTTTTGCCTCGATGGGGATGGTGACAGCCTCCTTCTGCACGAGCATCGTTCAGATCTATCTCACCGCGGGCGTCATTACTGGTAAGTGGCCTGCAGGGTCCAAAAGGAGTTGGCCAGTGCCTTGGCTGTAGGTTGGTTTTGTCTAAGTGACAAACAATCTGACTCATCGGGATCATCCAGATGGGCTTTTATGAAGGTGGCAGATAAATGTGGAATTAAATGATCTTTTTTTTAAAGAGTGTTATTTTTTCTGGTGTCTTTGACAGCCCCTGCTGTACTCGGTGAAGTGTAACCCCAGAGCACAAGAATATTCTGGAGGTGGAAGGCTTTTACAAATGTTAGCTTAGAATTCTTTTGTCCATCTGAACTAACACTCCTTTCTCTTACGTCATGACTCAGAAAAAACTGTCATTAGAGGTTTTTTTACCAGTATTAATTTTTATGTGCCCTCTGTTACAGGTTTGGGTCTGGCACTAAACTTTCAGCCCTCCCTCATCATGCTGACCCGCTACTTTGACAAGCGCCGGCCTTTAGCCAACGGGCTCTCCGCTGCGGGGAGTCCGGTGTTCCTCTGTGCTCTCTCACCACTGGGACAAATCCTACAACACGAGTATGGTTGGAGAGGAGGGTTCCTTATACTGGGCGGGATGCTGCTCAACTGCTGTGTATGTGGAGCATTAATGAGACCTTTGGAGCCACCCAAAAAGTCCGAAGCTCCCAAAGAACCAGCTGAGAAGAAAGTGAAGAAAAAGCTCCTGGATTTCAGTGTGTTCAAGGACGGTGGTTTTGTAATCTACACGCTGGCGGCATCTATCATGGTGCTCGGCCTCTTCGTTCCCCCCGTTTTCGTTGTGAGTTATGCCAAGGATTTAGGGTATCCAGACACCAAAGCAGCTTTTCTTCTGACTATTCTGGGATTCATTGATATCTTTGCTCGGCCTGTTTGTGGAATGGTGGCTGGTCTTAAATGGGTGAGACCACGCTGTGTCTACCTCTTCAGCTTTGCCATGATTTTCAACGGCTTTACAGATCTCATGGGTTCCATGTCTGTTGACTACGGTGGCCTGGTGGTCTTCTGCATTTTTTTTGGCATTTCTTATGGAATGGTGGGGGCTCTTCAGTTTGAAGTTCTCATGGCTATTGTTGGTACTCAGAAGTTTTCCAGTGCTATCGGTTTAGTGCTCCTGGCAGAAGCTATGGCTGTTCTCATTGGTCCACCATCAGCAGGTAAGTATTGCATTTAGTTCAGAATCCAAAATAATTTGCATTGCAGCCGTTTATACAAATTGTCTGATAAGGGAGCAGAGAAACAGACATGAGTCACTCAAGGAGTGCCCATTGTGGTAGTGCTGCACATGCGTCAGTGACCTTCTGCAGTTCCAGTCGGAAGTAGTCCGAGACAGGGTGGGATGAGTGTCTTCCTGCTTGGCTGTTTCCAGACTGGTTGAACTGCCACCTGGAGATGCTGCACTTTCTCTACTCAAAGCCTACGCTGGGCCTCTTTGTATTAGAGGGCTAATACTGTACAAGTTTTACACCCAGGGCGAGTAACCTTTGTGAAGTTCAGACCTCTCCAGGGTTAGGATTCCTAATATGAAACCTGACTGTTTTCTTTGGAAAGCCCTAGGATAGATTCTCTATATCTGTGCTAGATTTGGAGGAGGAAAGAAGAAGGGGGCGGGGAAATCTGACAAGTAGGACTTGAAACTGGACTGGGTTAAGGAAGGTGGACTGCTACTATTGCACGTCTCGCAACCCAAGAATTGAAGGGCATTCAAATTCATTAATCTGAATTCAGAATTCCAATTAATTACTAAGCAAAGAATGTACATTTTACAGACCCTGAACTGATAAAAACACCCATGTGAAACCCCCCCGTTGAGTGCCAGAAAGGGTTTACTGTTTATACCAGAGGCTAAAAAGCATCAGGTATCAGCTGGGAGATGGTTTGGGGAAACCGCCTGGGAAGCTGCATCTCCTGACAGGGGTCACGGACTGCTTAAAGAAAAGCAGGAAAAATTTCACTGCCAGAGAATCACTGCTGTTAACTACCTGGAATGTTGTCTTTTCCAGGAAAACTCTTGGATGCAACAGGGAGGTACATGTTTGTTTTCATTATTGCTGGGATCGAAGTGACCACCTCAGCGCTCGTGTTGGCCTTGGGCAATTTCTTCTGCATTAAGAAGAAACCAGAAGAGCCGCATGCAAAAGAGGAAGCAGCCGAACGCGAGGAACTGAACAAATGTGAAGACAGACCCGAAGACACCAGGGTGGACTCGATTGAGGTGGAGCAGTTTCTGAAAGATGAGCCTGAAAAAAACGGTGAAGTCGTAACCAACCCAGAGACGTGTGTGTGAGCGCGATGGGAGAGCGGCAGCGCTTTGGGACGAAAGCTTTTCAACACTATTTATTTTAGAAATAGAACTAGTTTAGGGCTGGGCCATCTGCTTTACTCCCTGGAGGCCAGTCGGCTCATCAGGTCTCTCTGGAAGCTGATCAGCTAGGCAACCTTTGCCCGGGAAATCAGCGTTCTCGGGAGAGGTGGGGCGTCGTGGTGACGCCGGCAGACTTGCTGCGCATCGCCAGGACTGGCCCGCTCGGAGAGAGAAAGGAAAAGTGTATTTTAAGAAAAATGGAGTTACATGGATGTTTTTAGACAATATTGGTGAAATCACTGTGTTGCGAGGCTACATATAAACTCCCTTCTGCCTTCTTTGTGAAGGGAGAAGAGTTTGAGATGGAGAAAAATCTCAGGAACTTAAAGGTCTCCATTAGGTTTTTCAATTTTTAACTTTTTTAGATTAATTGGCTCAGCCCTGGTTTAATTTTGATAATATCTGTTACTTTGATGTATGTAAAAGTATTTCTGAGTTTTGTCTCAACCTGTAACCCTTGTAATGACCATCTGGGAATACGGTACACGGAAAGGCACGTCGCGGGTAACTGCCCGCAGCGGATCACACGCGTGTGGCATTCCAGAGAGGAGTAAAAGAAAATAAAGGGAGCAGACTCCAGCCAGCCAGCCCAGGCAGAGTCACCTGCCGGCCGCACACGCGCGTGTCAGAACTTCCCCGCAGCACTGAAAACTCGCACAAGTTGCACGGAGCAGAGGGTGTCGGTTCAGTGGGATCACCAGTGGGAACCAGTGTCCGTTGCGTCCATGAAGAACCGTGGGAGCTCCCAGACGGGCGGTTGGTTGGGGTGGGCAACGCTGCGCAGGGACCTGACTATCTTAAACTGTTCGCCCTCTTTCAAACACAACCTCAGCCTCACGGGAAGGTCTTACCATGGTGGGGGGTTTTGGTTTGCTTCTGCTTTTGTTTACCCCATGTCCCTGTCCTCTGGCCGATACCGTGGAAGGTCAAGGTGCCATTCTTGCTGTGGGGGGAAGCCTGACAGCAGTGCAGACGGACCCACCAGGGACGGGGCGGCTCCACCACTCACGGCACAAAGGGAAGGGGGGACTCTGGCCAGTCCTTGAACAGGGACAGATCAGACACGCAGGGACAGTGCGTTGGAGAAACGTGGAAGGGGAAAAGGTTCCTTGTGCAGACACTGAGTAGCAAAGGTAAAGGAAGGCGTTTATCTGCAGATTCCCCTTTTTTCCCCAACCAAACCAACCGTCAGGTTCCCACAGAACCGTGCTCCCGCAGCCCAGCCCCGGGCGTGCCGATCAAAGATCTCCGGGCTGTGACTGCGCCAAGAACCTGCAACGCCGACGGTAACGGGTTCAGGCTGCTCGTGGGCAGCACAGGAATTTTGGCTTTCAGGTGCCACAACTGTTCCACTTAACTGCAAACTAAAAGGCCCCAGTCCCATAACCCCCCTATGTTGTTTCATACTTGGCCATTTTAGAGTGATTCCAGCAAAGTGCCAAGTGCAGGAACCATTCCCTAACGGCGCGATCTCAGATTCCAGCTCCTGTTCTGGTTGTTCCTTCAAAAGGGTTTTACATCGTCGGGACAACCTTGCCCAGAAACAGAAAAGTTGGGATGGTGCCTTTTCCTGAGTGACCTGTCCAAGAGCTGGGGTCTGTGCTGAATAAACGGTTTGTTTTACAGGGCACACGGCACGTCACTTCCAAACTTCGTACTGCCTTAGTGGCCCGAATTGCCCCGGCAGGTCCCAGTTCCAGGAACTTAGTCATAAAGTCTAAATCAGCACTTGGAACACGACACTGGTAGCGCCAGGTCACCCCAGGGAAGGGGAAAAGAATGGGATCCACGGATCAGTTTCTGAATCCCTGGAGGCTGCTCCACATGACCCATGAAGGCCTGACAGCGCTGTCAGACTGGAGTTCCCTGTTCTCTTTCACAAAGCCAAAACCAGAAATGCCCCCAGAGGTGGGTCCAGGTGCTCAAATACCCGGTTTGTCTCTGGGTCTCCATCACCACGCCCTGCCAGACGACGCTGTAGTTACCACAGAACGAAATGCTTTTCCCTTTGACCTCAGGTCTGGCACTGCTTTCGGTTCCCACACATCCTGCAAATGGTGCGGACGGTAACGTCTCAAAAATCTGGGCTTACCCTACTGACCTTCCAGACTGTTCATTTTCCATACCTAATACCTGGAATAATACACACAAGCTGGAAACAAGCAGCGTGGCAGCAGAGTTGTACGTGATTGGGGCAGCAGAGGAAGTTACTAAGACAAGGGAAACGCATTTCAACAAGACACCCTACGTAATTCCTGACGTACGTCTGGTGTTAAAATGTACCCCTGGTTAAAATGTTGGTTTGAAAAAAGGGAAGCAGGGAAAGGGCAGGGAAGGCAGGTAATCCCACAACCGAACTGCCAGGCATCCCAGAGCCAACGGTGTGATCTGCTCTTGCATCGTACACTACGGGAGCAAGGGTGATCTCTTCAGACATGTTCATCAGTCTGTTTAAGAAGTCTGGGGGTGGCAGCAATCAAAAAACACAAGTGCAAAAACCCCAAGTACAACCCTATAAAGCAGCTGAGAGAGACCTTTCACAGATCATTTCTCTGAAACTCAGGACTGGTCCTGGAGTGTACAGGCTGGCATCGTTTTCAAGGCCTTTTAGATCCTTGTACGTTATAAATGGTGCAGTAGAGGAGTTAGGGCGAATGATCGAGTCACGGATTTCAGGCTTTTAGCTTCCTAGTGCCTGGAGCATAAATGGTGCAGTAGAGGAGTTAGGGTGAAAATCCTGTTTGATCGAGTCACGGATTTTGGGCTTTTAGCTTCATAGTGCCTGGAGTGGGTTGTGTGCGGGTGACACAATACCTGGAGGTGCATACGGGGGGGTGTATGTACCTGTATGTAGCTCTATATATCAAACATGCAAAATACCCAGCAGAGCCAGTTTTCCCGTTTACGAGACAATGAAAACGCAGAGTTAAAACTATTGTCCTCCTCCTCCTATGCAAGGAGAGGTTTGCTTTTTTAAAAATCCCCACGTAAGGTACCTTGTCGCTCTCCGGAGCCACAAAGATCTCAGGGAGCTCAGCTTCCTGAAGCAATGTGGCCGTTTACAACCCCAATCTCTAGAGGGTATTCTCCTCCACGCCCACTGCAGCAGCGTTCAGGAGCACCTGCCGCCAAAACAGCCAGTTCCTGGCGCTGGGACGCGAGATGCTGCGAAGGACTGGACAGGCCTCGTGCTCGTTAATGCTAAACCCCGCGACAAGGGGGTGTGTTAACACAGAGCCGTTCTCTGAAAGGAAACGAAAACACTCCCCTGACCGAGCAGCTGAACTCAAAACGAAAATCCCAAACACACATCTGCACCTTTGTCAGGTCCCAAAGGGAAGTTCAGTTGGGTAGAACAACGGGCAGGGCTTGCAGAATGCGGAGGACCGACGTGCGTGCCCGTGGCCGGGCTCTAGGGTGAGCGCACCGCTGCCCTGCGCAGCCCCGACGCTGTCGCTGTTCACGCGCTTCAATGCAACCGGTACGTTTATACGTAATTTTCTTACGCTTTGCTAGTCAGCTGTAGCAGATGTAGCGAGTAAATATTTGTTTGGTTGTCAAAAACTGGGTGTGAGAAAATAAGCCTAGAAAAAACAGCTAACACCCAGATTTGGAAATCAGGCTTCATTTGCACACGCTCCAACAGCCGTAAGGATGCAGTGCGCTTCTAGAGAGCAAGAAGAGGTGACGCCGAGCTGACAGGCAGCCAGAATTCCATGTGGGCAAGGGGACTGCCTTTGCCATGACTCACAGTGTGCCCCGTTCCAAAATGGAAATGGGCTCCTGCTGTAAATGATCCTGAAGACCATTTTAAAGCATCGACTAATTTTAAATAACAGCTATGATAACAGCTCCTCGTGGAAATTATTGTTCTTGTCCTCTGAAGAGTGCTGCAGGGTTTGTTTGCAGGTGCAGTTTTACGAACTGGTCTGGTGAGGCCACACCTCAAGTCCTGTGTTCAGTTTTGGGCTCCTCACTCCAAGGACACTGAGGTGCTGGAGCGTGTCCAGAGAAGGGCGACAAAGCTGGAGAAGGGTCTGGAGCACAAGTCTGATGAGGAGCAGCTGAGGGAGCTGGGGGGGTTCAGCCTGAAGAAGAGGAGGCTGAGGGGAGACCTGGTCACTCCGAAAGGAGGGTGTAGGGAGGGGGGTGCTGCTCTGTTCTCCCGGGTAACTGGTGACAGGACAAGAGGAAACAGCCTCAAGTTGTGTCAGGGGAAGTTTAGGTTAGATATTAGGAAAAACTGCTTTACTGAGGTGGTGGAGTCAGCATCCCTGGAGGTGTTCAAGGAACGTGTAGACGTGGCGCTTGAGGACATGGTCTAGAGGGTGTGGGAGTGTTGGGGTGACGGTTGGACTGGGTGGTCTGATAGGTCTCTCCCAGCCTCAGTGATTTTGTGACTTATAAAGCCCTAAATATTTTGAGTACCAACCTGCCAGCAAGCTGTCTGTATTGCCAAGTGATGCTCTTTAGAACTTTCAAGTTCCTACGACAACACAGTTTAAGAATACATCTATGGTGGGGCCTGTTGGTTCATACAGTACCCAGCTACGTCCGGCTCCTCAGGGTATAATCGCAAGGCTACACCCAAGTGAATCAAAATTACGGTCTCTTCAATGTACCAAGAGCTGCACTTTGCTACGCAGAAGCTACCTGTAAGGCTCACACCTCTCTGTGCCCAAGTGTCTGCGGAGGAATTTGGGAGAGGTCTCTCCAAGCTCAGCTTCAGAAGTTTCTCTGTTTACGCTGACAAGATCGCAGGTCTGGGTTACATAAACCCCCATGGTTGCATAAACGGACAATTAACAATGCAACTGAACCTGCACTAAAAAGGTAAAGCTTAAGGTGCAAAGGTAAAGCTTAAGGCAGCTCTGCTGCCCCACGGCCGGGCCAAGCCACACGCTGCTGTGGGGCCGTGACCGGGTGAACGAGGGAACTCACTGGCCTGCGGGCAGCGCTCCCTGGGACACACCATCAGCTCCGCTCTGCACTGGTACTCCGCGTCGGAAAGGAAGGAGTTGAGCCCTTTGCCGAGGAGGAAGATGGGCACGGCCTGCGCTGCACAGCTGTTCCCTGCTGCTGGACCTGTCGAGGGAAGGTGACCCACCAACACGGGAAGAGCAAACAGCTCAGAGAGCAGCAGAGGCACTGCACATGTGAAGGAAGGGCTTTAGACATTTAGATTTTATCCCCTCTCAGCACTTCCGGGAAGAGCTCGTCTTTGTGCCAGCAGGAAGAAGGCGCCTCTACCGCAAAGGTCAGGGCTCTTTCACGCCTCCTGCTAGTGACCCAGCCCACGGGATCAGCAGTCCTGCCCGTCTGAGAAAGTGTTTTAACGCTAGAGGCAGAAATAGTAAAAAGCAACTTACCTCGTTATACACTGCTTGTTCCTTGGCTGATCCCAACACCTGCTTCCTCATCTCGGCAACATCCCGGCTGGCAACTTCCCTCCCTATAGCCAGATGCACACTTCACAGCAGTATGGAGTGAGGAGAGCTCTTGCTCTTCTGACTTTCCATCTACTACGGCTTCAGCACTTTAAAGCCTTTCACTGGACAACTCTGAATCCAATGAAGAAGCGTAGCCAGGTTTTAGTACGTAAAATTGCTAAATAGCAGAAGACTTCTCAGTCTCGCTGAAAAACGTGGCTAAGATCCAATGGTTGACAGTGTCAGAGAAGCTGAAAATACCATTTCTTAGCAGCGCGAGCAGAGAAACACTTGCTATTTGGGGTCTTCTAAGAAAAAAAAATCTGTGTGTGACCCCAAGACACCGTGAATCGCTGGTTCATCCTTCGCTTAAGGGAAATGCCAGGGGGAATCCGTCTTGCCTTTGTGCCTCCAACACCTGCAGCTCTGAACCAAACTGAGGACCGTAATTAAAGTGTGTGTCTTGTCTGCTTAGGATCAGGATTAGACATCATCTTCCCAGCACATAATGTAACTCATGTATTCCTGGTTTGTTCCACACCCCACCCCACGCCAAGTACCCTGGATTGGTACAGCAGAAACATAGTAGACTGGGGCTTAATGCTTTGGGATGATATACTCCCACATTCCTGTTTGTCTATTACACTCACATTTCTGAGCCGCAGGTCTTATCTTTGCGTTTTGAGCCACAGATTTTCCCAAAATTAGGTTTAAAAACCACTATCTCAAAACAAGTGTGGGTTTTTTTGTAGACCGCGTACTTTCGTAGCTCGTGTACACACAGATCGCCCCTGGTTTCCCGCTGTCCCTCTGCCTGCAGCACGCAATGGTTTCATCAAAAGAGCGGAAGCCTCTTAGTCTTAATAAGGTTAAACAGGAAAACCACACCAGTGTCTGAGATAAAGCCAGCAAGGGTTACCCTGTGCAAACATTAGCTCGGTAGGACTTTGCTGAGACAGGTTCTTAGTGAAGATCAGGCCTCTGAGCACTGGCCTGGTAGGAAATTACTGAACAATGCAAACAGTCCACATGAATCCAGGATCACAGAATCCCTGAAATCTAGACATACACACACGGTGCCAGTAACTGTCACCTGAGCGAAGCAGGGGACGTGTACTGCTTTCAGCAGTGAAGTTCTGCATTATTTCACAGCAAAAGCTTTTTGTTATGAACCGGTCTCATCCAGTGCATTTCAGAAGCTACTCTGCTGCAGGATTAAATTCACGATGGATTAACTCTTCCTCACAACTGGATTAAATCTGGATTTCTGACCAGATGGCTCAGCACTGATTAAAACAGCAGCGTTACTTGTTTTCGCTCAGGATCATGTACACATAAAGTGCTGTTGGTAAAGCAAAAGTTCAGGAACGAAATAAACCTCTTCCTGTATCGTGCTTTCGCAAAGAGAAAATAAACATTCCGGAAATGACCACATACACTCCAGCCACTGATCAACTTACCAATCTGTAAATGCCTTCTCAAGATTCTTGTCAGGAAATTCAATTTCTGAAAGTGTTGCCTTTGATCGATCTTATGGAGGAGCTGCCACTCAAGAGGTCTGGAATGTGGGGAAATGAAAACAAGTAGTTGTGCTGGTATTTTTCTCCACCGGAGATGAAGGACGAGGCGTCTCCACGTTCCACACGCCTTCTCCAAGAGACTTGGAATACTTTAACGAAGGTAACGTGGAGGATTCGGGCTCCTCACGCGTGTTTACGCAATCTCTCTCTCAAAACGTATCATTTATTTTCAACTGCTTTCCAGGTACCTGCACCACAAAGAATTCAGGGACTCTGGGACCATCACAGTTAGGTACAACAGCAGCACTGGTGGGATTTTCCACATCAAAGCACGTAGCCAGTTCTAAATGAGAACTGAGGTTAACTATCCTGCCCACCTCCAAAGGCCCGCTAGTCAACGACACACGGGATTCTTGAGGGCACAGCTGCCCTCAGATTATAAACAGGCTTCTGAGAATTACAGAGGAAGAGACAGGACATTTACAGTGCGGGGCATTGTGGGTAGAGCCCGGGTTTTTTTGCGTTTATCCTAGCTCCCACAACCAAGTCTCAACAGCAATTCTTTTCCCATACCCATCAACACCACGTGTTACTCGGTAAGAGGCAGCATTTGTGAGGAAGATTTCTTGAAAAGAAGCAATATCCCAACAAACCCATTTACCTTAAAGGGCCAAAAGAAATACTTTCTGTGAGCAAAGCACTGCATGCCTCCTCCTTCTTCCCGTGTACCTTAACTGCTGCCTTCTGCCTACCAAAATCCTGCAGAAGTTTTAGTACCACGAGTGTCTTCAGACGTTTGCACCTGACAGTACCCTTTGCAGATACAGAAACCCCTTGGAAGAAAACAAGAGGAAAGAAGTTACAGCAAGGGAGGAGTAAGGGCTCATTGTAAGGAAGTTACACCGAAGAGCAGAAGTTATTACGAGTGTATTTACACAACTGTTAAAGTACACAAATACAGTGGCAGTACAAATGAAGTGCTCTGAGAGTTTCCAATACACAGGTTTATACAGACACTCTATTTTCCGCATGATGGAATTTAACTGTTACGAAGGACAAAACCTGCCCACGAGTGAGTACAATTCTAGAAGTCCGCAGTCAACTTTTAAGTATAGTACAGCAATCTAATGTTCCCGATACAGAGAATAAAGAGGCCGCCTTTGTATCCCTCTAACAGCACATTGCTAACCACAGATATTTACAAGGAAAGCACAGAAGTCAGAACCGCTGGTAGTGCACATGCCTAAAATACTGAAGTTTGTAGGAACTGAGGAAATAATTCTCTTATGCAAACTTATGCATGGACCAAACTCTTCAGCTTTTCCACTATGCTCTCCCCAAACACAGGTTTCCCCAGTCAGACCCAGAGTACACACAAGCACGTAGCTGATGTTCTGAAACATCCACAGCAGAGTGACTAACACTTAATGAGTGGGCTTTGGAGAGGGGCAAAGAAGAATCTGTAAACACCAAAACAATAAAAATTACTCTTCATAAAACTCTGAAGACCAACAGGCCTTTAAAAAATTTCTTTTCGAGCAGGGAAGGGTTTCTCAAACACCAAACTGTTCAAAGAAAATCTCTGGATGTACTTGCGATTTCCAGCGTGGAACTTCCCCTTGCTGCAGCCGCACAGGGATACACAGCACTTCCCGTGCTGCCCCACGTAGCGGGAGGACAGACACCGACGTTCACTCTAGCAGACTGTTCGCAGGAAAAAGATGAAGAATCTCCCGTATTCCATAACCCCCAGGTGCTAACACCACCCACAACAGTTTTTCTGGACACCCAAGCATGTTGAGCTGTGCTTTTCCAGGAAATGATGCTGGGCACACTCAGGTCGAACAGTTAAAAATTAAATATGGTACGCACCCAAACTGGAAAAATTCTCGGATTTCACATCAAGAACAGGTTGTGGGGTTTTTAAGTAATTCTTTTTTTTGAGTCTTGGCATCAAACAGAAGGCCTGAATCACTCAGTTTAAACACGTAGATGCTGAATGAAGCGTGCAGATTCACGGAAGGTTCCATAGCAATGTGTATTTTCCACCTGCAACACCCTCCAAGCCATCAGCCCCGGAGCACAGGAACAAAACTTTACCAATAAAACCAATGTCTGAAACTATCCCTTTACCCAACCTCTGCAGAGAGACAGGACAAGCTTCCAAATTCAAAATCCTTTTCACTTCGTTACCACTGGCTCTACTCCACCCGGACTCTCCCGCAGGGTATTTAGTTCTCCTCTTCTACGAAAACAAAAGAGCGCTAACAATTCCCTTGTGTTACATGGAAATTTAAATGTTACGTGTGAATGAAGACAGCAAACAGCAAAGTAAAATTCTAACGATTTTAAAAATTCCATGAGAAAACCGTCTCAGTCGGAACAGGCCCGTACAAATAAGTAAACAGCTTAACTCAAGTCGGATGGTTTTGATTCATGTACATGTTCCCTGCCAGACCAATTGCTTTAAACAAGAAATTTCAAGTCATTGTCTTTAGTTCAGGCTTGTTTATATTCTACATTTTTTAAATCAGACAAAAGCAAGAGTTCTTTACAGAGAATTAAGCCAATAGGTTTAGCAAAATGATACAAAAAACTTTCTTAAACCAAGTAAAAGATTTATAGTTACAGTAGAATAATAAAAACGGTGTAGAGTCTGCCGCCTGCCGAGGGGGAACTGAAACGGCCATCCGCTAACAGGCGGTCAACCCTGTAAACCATCCTTCTTCTCCAGCCCTGTCCCCACAGGGTTCTCTTAAGGTCACTGGGTTTCTGGCAAAAGCGTCCTGTAACGGCAGCTGCTGGCGTCTGTCCGTGTTCCTCCAAGTGCCCTTTACGTCACGTGGAGAACTCCAATTGTCCTGTTTCCGCTCTAGTTTAGGGTATTTTGCTAGTAAAGCCACTGGTAACATAGGAGATCAGCCATGCATTATCTGCCCTCCACGGCAAACTGATTTTCATCGGTGCACAGCAGACTGGAGAACACTGGTAGTTACCCGAGCAGGAATCTACCAAAGCCAAAAGACAGGAGCACATCAGCACACATCCCTCCGCTTAACACACAGAGGGCTCCCCATGTACTTGCAAATAATTCCTTGCCAAAAGTAAGCGTGTGAATTTAAAATCCAAGGAGCTGCACAATGCTTTGCACCCACCTGTAGCTACACGAAGGTCCCTATATCTTCCTCCTTTATTAGAAGTTAACATGGAAAATTCACCTTTCCAGCCAGGAGATGTTTTGGAAAAAGTAAACAAGAGCATAAACATGCAGAGAAGAAAGAACAAACCAGATGAAAACAGCATCCATGTGTAGAATCCAACTCAATGAATAATTAGGTTGGGGGGGAAAAAAAAAAAATCCAGTAAGAAGGTAAAAAACATTAATTTTCAATGGCTTTTAATTGTTCATGGGCCATTGTGTCCCAAGACACTTCATTACCTTCCAGGCCTATTTCAGTCACCGCGTGCCAGCAGTTCAGCAGCACTTGCCCCCGAGAGTGAAAAGCAACCGCACAGCGCTGCGATGTCAGAAGCGAGAAATGCCTGAGGAGCTGAATCAGTGTTCAGGATTAACGGCAGTTGGAGACAGCTACAAACAGCGCGGCGAAGAGCAACGGCCAGCCGCTGCAGCCCCGGCGCCACGCAGGCCAGAACCTGCACGTCTCCTGCACGCGAGCTTTCCAACGCAAAGCTTCCCGCTGGCCTCTTCCACCCTGTTTTCTAATTCCTTGGTTTTGACCAAGGCCTGGTGATGGGACTTTAAGGTGTTAAGCTGCTATTTACAACTGGATCTTTTCAACGTTACAAACTGTTTACGGAGCAGCTTGTGCACAGTCAGCCAAGCACACAAAGCGGGGAGAGAACGGAAGAAGAACAGCAGGATTCTTCACCGACCAGAGATACGGGGTTAGTGCAAGCTGAGGCTTGAGAGAGGAAGGGCGGCAGCAGACGGAGTTATACAACAGAAGTTAAGGAACAGAAAAGTCCCACAGCCTGTTTTTAGTAAGAAGCAAAGCAAAGAAGCTCCTGAAACACTTCAGACAGCATCCTTCAGCCACCAAGGTTGAGTCCAGCTGAAACTCATTTCCCTGATGAAACCTGTTATTGCCAAAAGCAGAACAGACCAAAAAGCCAAAAAGCTGCACAGAGAAAGGCAGAAACTCCTACTGAACAGTGGGAAGGAGTTCTAAACACCCAAACCCACGTCTGTCTACCCCCGAGATGCTCATGTCCACACTACTCTCATTAGTGCAGGAACATTTTTTCAGCAGAGATCTGAATAGATCTGAGTATTTTTTAAATGACAGCTCTTAAGGAACAGGAGAGGAATGTAAACCAGTGAAACACGGACACGGCTGTAGTAGCACGTTCCAGTCACAAGACAGAGCCTCTTTTGAGTAATACAGTCAACGGAGTCGTCACACGAGTCTGCTGGCTCTAACATTCTGCAGCAGATCTGGTTTTGAACGGATGACACGCTGCCGCGTGAACATCCCTGAAAAGCCATGCAATTCTCAAACAGCTGAACGTCAGACTCAGCTATTTTATTTTCTCGTTGATGCTTGAACGATTTCAGGGACTTTTAAAGTCACTATTTTTGCCAATTCCGCTTAAGAGTTCAAGTGGATCAGCAGTAGTAATTCAACTTTCAGAAGGACATTTACATTTAAGGTAGAGACAAACCAATGCTCCATCAAGCATCTGTCTGGAAGGCACAGGTACAACTATGAGATAACGTGAGGAGAAGAAGCAAAGTCAGATGTTTCCAAAGATTTTTTTCCCCACCCCATCCAAAGGTTTGGTGTCTAATGAGAAGCACTCACCCAGTGCTGCCTTCCAACGAAAGGAGACGAGCAGCTACTTGCCATGGTGTTCGAAAGGAATGCTATTCTGAGGTAGGGGAAAAGACAGCAATTTGTAACAGTTCCACTGCCCCAGTATATAACGATGTCTAACAAATATCCACCCTAAACTTGCAGTAGCCAATGTATCTTTTGAGGAGCTCTGATGTAGAAGGCATTTCTATCGTATTAAGAGACAGGTAAAAGGAACAAACCACTATTCCTCAAAGGAAGCTGACAGGGTCAGAAGAACAACGCAGAGTACGATGCCTATTTAGAGGGATATATGGGGAAAGATTTGCTCATGAGGATATGGAAAATGCAGAGGCATTGGAAGTACATAGCTTCTTCCCCAGGGAAGAGACATAACACTTAAGCTGTTCAATGCCGGTGTTGGCTACAGGCTTCTAAAAACTCCCCTCAAAGAGACTTACTATTTCTTTGTGCAGCATTCTAATCTTTTCTTCCAACTCCGGAGAGCAGGAATCATGCACAGCTCTGACTGCTGGGTGCTGAACACGTCACGTTCAGGACAAAACCTGAACGACTTACTGTATACCGCGAGCAGTCGGGCTGAGCCGTGCGCGAAGGGAAACGCAGGCTGCTCCCCCGCAACCCGACTGCTGAGCACTGCTTCGGGACGCAGCCTGCGCGACCTGCGCCGACAGAACCAATGCCAGGCAGCGTCTGCTGAATACTCCTCGCCTCCTTTACTATGTTCCTTAACGTTTAAAGACTGACTCTGTAAAGCAGACTTGGCGAACAATTCACTCCTGGAGCTTAAGAGCAGGAGGATCTCTTAACAGCTGGTTGGATTTTCTGCCCAGCACAGCTCCTGACTCTTGGCTGCACAGGGACCCAGCGTTTAGGTTGGCTTTAGACCCAAATACACCATGGAGAGACAAATCCCCTTTTGCTGCAAAGGGGACAGATGATCTTCTACTTTCAGAAGGTGGTGCAGTGGCTAACTGCCTTCACTCAGATCTTTCGCTTTTCCTTAAAATGTGAGTGCTTTCAGTATTAAACAAAAGGTTCTTCATACGTTTTCTGCATAAATGTCAGTCCTTGTTAAAATCATTGTCTCTCAAATACTACGCCAACTAAGTCAAGACGATCTCTTACCTTTCACACCAACTGAAAGACTCTGGTTTGAAATTCTTGCATTGTACAATCTGTTCCCCCAAGCTCAATTTTTATGGCTCTTTTTTGTGTTACTTATACTTTTCCGACAATTTAAGATGCTGAGAACTGGACTAAGCATAATAGTCCAGCATCTATCTCTCTAATGACATGAATAATCTCTCCATTTCTGTTCATTACTGTATCATTCATCCATTCAAGGATGAAATAACACCCTTTCCTTATGACATCACACTAACCTCTCCAACATCACACCTACAGCCTCCTCAGTCATCGCTTCCCACAGACCTAGTTCCCACATGTAACACAATGGCCTCCACTCCTTCCCCCTCGCCCGGGGTTGGAGTGGTGCAGCACTACAGACTTCACTTCGACAGGCTTCACCCGCCTGCGCCTCTCCCACGGATGGTACCGCTGCCCACCAGCTCACAACTGGCAGGGTTTTCCCTGCTGCATCCACTTCCATACAATCCAGAAAAATACTAACACTTGCCACAGAATTTCTGTAGTTTCATTAGAAATGCTTAAGGCTTCTGAACCGTTCCACCCACATGCTCGTTCTTACTCCAACAGACGCTCACTGGTGTTCCAAAGTGCTCGTCTCTCCGACGAGAACAGTTCAGGTTCTGTGTGGATGATACCTCGGAATTGGGGAATACTCCAGACACCTGTTCCACTACCCTTCCTAGTTACCAGCTTTCCGTGAGTGTTACATTTCTCTGAGAACACCTATCTTCCATAAGAGAATTATAGTTCTTATTATCTACATTCTCAGCCTTAGTTTTCAGTTTCAGTCTGAACTGATCAGAACTCATTTTGGAAAAAAAGGAAGATAAAAATGTGGAGTCACCCGTAAGAACTGGACTCAGAGGCAAGGGCCTTTCACGGTCTCTTTGAGCGACCCCTGCGCATTTCCAGTGCCCAGAGTTTAACAAGCAGTAGGTGACGAGCGGCGGAGGCTACAGACGCAGCCTGGCCCTACCAAACCAAGGCATCCACATAAAATGAAGCAGCAGAACTCCTTTATCAGGTTATTTGTAACAACTCCAACAAACGTGGTTCTTCACATAAGGCATGTGTAGAGCTGCACAGCATACTTTAAAAGGATGCTTTCTACCAGGAACACGGTTTAAGCGCTTCCTGAAAAAAGAACAGCGGTCGCCTATTTCCTGAAGACTTACAAAGGACATAACACACTTGGAATTGGCATGGATAAACAGTTGCTGTTCTTTACTGTTCTTCTGAGAAGAAGCGGTAGGGATGATTTTCTATATTCTTACACCGAGCCAATCAAAATTCTCCTTAATAACCTTGCCAGGCAAGTTGGATACTTTAGTTTTTTCCTAAGAACAAGGTATAAAGATAATGGGAAACCTCTGGTCTAACTGGTAACCTGGTTAGCATCTAAGGGTAGATTTTGACTATGGAAGAATGACTTTAGCATCCTGAAGATAGTAAGAACGAGAGCTTAACTGAGCCATCTCGCATGCTACAGAGTAAGCGAGATCTGGGAACACGAAAAGCTCAAGGGGAAGCATTACAGGGTAGACCATAAGTATCTCTCTCTTGCATTCTAAATCCGAGAGGCCCGTGGGAAGCTGCTGAAATTACACTGCAGTTGCACACTGTTATTCAGTCGCCATGAGTGGAGACCAGCAGTCGCTCACTGTTTTGATAAGAACTAAATGAAGATGACAGGTGACAAATGATTAATTCTAACAGACTCGGAGAAGACCCCAACTAGGCCACCACCGGCATCGTGAAGAAGTCAACCAAGCGATCCCATACTTGGAATGTCAGAAGGGGCAGGTATGGAAATGTGCCATTAAGCCCGACCGACCTGCTGGCCCACAGCACAAATTATATGCCTGTATATTCAAAGACTACTCAACCCCCTCCATGGTCTAACACAGACTCAGAGCATTCCCATTTTGCAAGTTAGGCAGAACCACAATGCATCTGCAAACCCACCCGGACTACTTGTGCCTTATAATGTTTAGAGGAGTTTCACGTGTACACTGAACTGCACGCCAGTAATACAGCAAAAAACCAAAATTCCTACTCTTCCCTATCAGTCAAGTAACTCACTGCACTTATTTCTATTACTCCTCTTAATCATTTATCTGACTGGTAACAGAAACAAAGCATCTGAGGTTTGTTCCCTGGGCATACACACCCCACCAGAAAACTACCTTCACATCTGTGGAAACGTTCAGGGGGAGCTCAGTGCCACCACCTCGCAGAGCAGCTGAGGTCGAAGGACCCCTGGGATCAACCACTTTGATCCCACTACCAAAAGTGCAGTTGGCTAGAGCCCGCCACTCAGGACAATGAGCGAAAGAGTTTTTTCTTATGCCTAAATGGAATTTTGTATATTCTAGTTTGTGCCCGCTGTCTATTGTCTGTTCACTGGCTGTCACTGAGAAGCATCCGGCTGCACCTTCTTCACATCCTTCTACCAACTATTTATGTATATGTACAAGGTCCATAACTATGCACAATTCCACCCTCTTTGTTTTCCTACTGTTAACAAACTTCAGCCATAAAATATTTCAATGTGAGAACTTCTGATGGCAAGAACTGCAGTTCAGTGAACCATTTAAGCCAGCAAACACCACCACCAAAGCCAACACAGAAAACCTCACTTCTCTCCTATTCTCATCCAGTCATTTCTGCTGCTGAACTGTTCATCCCCTGGGCAAGCACAAACATTTGTGCAGCTACATGGGCAAACAATTAGTTGAGATGAAAAACAACCCAAAAAATCCCACTTCACTTTTGTTAAAGCAGAATTGTTTCTCCAATCCAGTCCATCTTCAGTCTCCCTTGGAGATGCCCACCTGACTTCCATCTAACAGCGTTCCCTCTAGCAGTAAGATCTTACATAGAAGAATAAGTATCATCCAACATAATTATTTTCGCCAATTAAATGACGGAGGCAAAAAGAACTGGGTTCCTTTTTATCAATATGCTCTGTCAATAAGGAATAGAATGAATCCATGGCAAAGCTGATGCAGTTCGAACTCCAGCACAGCGCTGGGGACAATGGCAAAACCCCGCGGCGACTGCACCAGTGCTCCCAGCAGACTGCTCTCCCGGGAACGCTGCAGCATGCCCACAGTGCAGGCGATTGCCCGTTCCGCAGGTGGGACTGCGGGTAAGCTGTACAGAGCCAGGCCACGCCATACTTAGGGCAGGTCTGTGTGAACACCTTGAAAAAGGACTGTTTCAGCTACAGCATAAAGAGAGAAAAACATACTTAAACACTGTCAGTCTTAAACAGAAGCATTCCTAAAATCTCTCTGCTAAGGCGCCGTGACCCATGAGGATGATTTCAGGGCTGACTATGGCTGTGAATCACGGATCATTCATCCTGCCATCCTCTTCTCTTTCAATCATCCACGTATGTGGCCCCTTATCTGCCCTGAGTTACAATACTGCGCTACCACGTTTCTTCGCTTTCACACTTTTCTGTTCTTCACCAACTACTTCCTTCCCATTCTGCACCAACATTCTCTCGCTCTGTTGATGTGGAAACATGAGTCACAACTGCCTCTAACTTACCCTGCTTCCTCATTGGTAACAGATACAAGAAATTCAGTGAGCTGAACACCACGACCATAGGTAACAATGCTGCATCTCTAGGATTCACACAATGACTATTACTTTGCGTGTTTTATGCTTATCACTGCCAAGGATAAAATAAAATAAATAATGCCTTACAGTAATCTACAGCCACATCACAAACATTCTGTTAAAATGTCAAGTATTTGTATGAGTTAACATCATCTGCAAAATCAGTATGAAATCCCATCAGTCAGCTAGTACGGTCTTTGAGCAAATTAACTGGATCAAACCACCCTCATGTTTCCATTACCCAGAAATCCTTTTTACCTGCGAAGTTGACATGCGAGAGGTATCTTGTCGGCCTGTTAAGTCAGACGACGAGATATTGACTGGGGCGCCGCGATGCAACCTCATACTCACTTTCCGTTCTCGTTCCATACCAGACACTGGCCGAGGAGAGGTGTTGGCTGGGAGAAAAACAGCATTAGATTCTCATGATGAGAAAGAGACTTATAACACGGTCACTGGAAAAATTTCACCCTCACTGTTTGCCTATAAAAATTCCACAGAATCAAACGAGAAATCAGGGCCTTTGTTTTACATTCACAAAAACCGAAGAGGCAGTTGGCAGGTAATGAGTGTGTACAATTACCCTCAATGGACTGATGAGCAAGGGGGAGAAAAAACCAAAAAACCTAAAACCTAACCAGAGACAAAATACCACTCAGATTTCCCAATTCCAATTCCGAATTACCAGTGACCTGGAACAACCTGAAAATCAGAGTTGTCTACAAGGTGTCAGCATTTGCTTACGTACCAGCATGTGAAGTTGGGGTAAGGGGGGTAGGAGGAGCTACATCTTGCGTTCCTCGCAGCCTGCCAGAAGCAGTGGAGGGTAACCCACGCACCGCTGGGTTTCGTGTATGTCTCAATCTTTCCTCTCGCTCTCGCCTTTCACGTTCAGCATCTTCAGCCGCTCTGCTTGCACCCTGCGGGTCAAGTCTAGTGAACAACTTGGGGTATTATTTAGCTTACAGCTACATATTCAGATAAAAATACTGAAGATAAAGAACTGGACAGCCCATGTTGACAGGGCATTAATCATTTCTGTACAACCTCTTGAGAACTGCCATAAATTCTGTTGACACAACTGCTGGGATAGTCTTTGAAATGCCAGCGTACAGACGTACTGCTCTGGCAGCTGGACACCTCCTCAGCAGCTGAGAATATGCCTAAGATCCAGGCGGGAGCAGATAATAATTCTGCAACCCGGCCTGGTGACTGCCCTGAAGGAAGCACCCCCGAAGCTGTACATGTCTAAAGCCCTGCGTCTTCAACTTAGTTCTCAGTCAACCCCCATCTCATGGCTCCTGTATCTCCTGCCTTTCCTCACTTCCTGATCATTTCTTTTTCTAGACAGTACAGCTTCCAGGAGGAAAAAGGCAAGACAATCTTACAGCATCAGTCAAAATGCTCAAAACTGACAATCTAGTTAAAAAAACTCCCACCAACCAACCACATTAAAAAAGAAGTCTTAGAAAGCCATGTCAGGTACTCACAAATTTCAGCATGTTCCAGTCAAACACATAGTCATACGAGAACCCTTGTCGGTGGAAGAGGTTTCTGAATAATTGCCTTAGATAGGAATAGTCTGGTTTGTCATCAAAACGCAAAGAACGGCAGAAATTCAAATATGTGGCAAATTCAGCTGTAATAGAAGAAACCCTGTTTTTTCCTTCAGCTTCACATTTGCTTTTTATAATTCTGAATCTCAAAAAAACCCCAAACACTGAAACCCCAAAACCAACCACCCCAAACCCAGCAAACAGGGAATCGGCTGAAGATAAGGAAAAAAAATGACCCAACGCCAGCAACCTGCTGAAGGCAAGTCAACAGCCCAGGTATCAAGTCAACCCTGAAATGGACGTTGTCACCGAGCAGGAAATGATCTCCTTTGGCAACAGCAGAGAGGAAACAGAACCAGAGTTCTTTCAGCAGCAGCTGGGAGGGTGGGGGAAAGACAGTTGAGTGAAGAAAAGGGATTATTTTGTCTGTCTGTGCTCTGAAAACGTTTAAACACAATTTCCTGGAGGCCACGGAATAGCATCTCTTTGTTGTTGAGTCACACAGACTCTGCTACCTCACAAAACACACAAAAACTAGTGGACCCACATAAGCTTCCCAGGTCAGTCACCCACCGGTTATTCACAGCGGTCTGACCAGCTGTGTTATGTGGCACACGGAATACTAGTTGTGTGCAAGAGAAATACTGTTGTGAATTCAATGCACCACAGACAGTGCCAGGGCCAGAACACCAGCTCTTGAGCTCAAGTCTTTCCAGCTGAACTAATGTATTAGTAACTTGAGAAAGAAATTCTAGAAGAGGCCAAGAAAAATTGATTGGCGTTCCCTGCCGGCTAACCCCAGAGAAAGCATAGTTAAGGAGGGAAAAGGAACACGTCTGAAGCGACATGTGAAACAGCCAAGACAGGAAGTTCCCATACAACCCCTGTTTCCACACCTAGCTGCCGAAGCCAAGAGCGTGGAAACAACAGCGACAGAACTCTTCGTGACAGATCAATGACATTCTCTGACTGCAGCTAATTGGAACACGTTTTAAAACAGATTTAAGTATCATTTTGCAGGGCTAAAAAATGCCTTGTTATTACTGTAGTGTAAAAACCAAACTGAGGAACAGAACGGCTCTGCGGCACGATCCTATTTATACAATAAAGTGTTTCTTACGCCTCTCACAGCCGCTGATCATCAACAGGCTAAACTAGGTGAACTTGGAATGACAATTCCCAAGTAACACAACTGCAACAGGTAACGGCTGCATCTGACCACACGCTGCGATTCCTCCAAGAAACAGTTCCCATGCATATGAAGAAACGGGTAGTTTCTCAAAAAGCTACTTGTCTGTCAGAGTGACCCAGCCACGCCAGATGCATGCACGCAGGGCACAGTGAGATCAGCCGCGCTGATCTCCCCTTCACCTCCAGGGCACCCCAGTGATGGTTTACTAAGAGTTAAGACAAGGGACAATTATAAATCCTCCACGATCACAAAGATCCCAGCCTTGAAAGCACAGTATCCTTATCACAGACCTGCCCAATCGTAGTGGGGGTGTGAGGGGAAGAGAGAGATAGATGTGAAAAAAAAAAAAAGACGGTAGAATTCAGGGTAAAGAAAAACAGATATACCACTACACCGTGAACATGCAGGCCTACTGCCTCAGATGAGTAACTTACAGGGATATCCTTTACACAAAACCTCAATGGGTGTAGACATTTTCTTTTCACTGATACGTTCATATTTCTGCCTCTTTGTTGCTGCTTTCAGTCCCTGCCAGGGGAGGGAGCCCAGGTTAAAATACATCAGTACATAGCCCAAGGACTCCAAGTCATCTCTGCGAGATTGCTCTACAACAGCATAAAAAATGGACTCATTAGGTTTCATTTTCTACTGGAAAAACAAAAGACTGTCATAAAAACCCTTAGAAAAACAAGAGATAGCTGAGAGTTACCATGCCCACGATAAACTCATCCAGTTCAAGAAAAAGCCCCCTTAGAGTTACTAACAAATGTGCTAATTCCTCAGAATTACAAACTGACCGAATCCCACCCCATCAACAGATCCGAGGCCAGCCACGCTGCACCCTCAGTGCCAGAGCAGGGACGGTCTTCTACGCCTCCGTAAAGCAACAGCTATTGCACTAAAATGATGTGCACCAACCCTTTTAAAGTTCCTGCTTCTTGCTTTCCCCAGCTCACCAATTCCAAGATGAGTGTTGATGGATGCATAACGGGCAGTTCCTGTCAAGTTTTTATTTTCACGATAAGGAATATGCTGGTGAGTTCGGGCATCTCGATACTTCTTTGCTAAGCCAAAGTCTATTATGTAGACGAGGTTGCCTTTCTTCCCCAGACCCATTAAGAAATTATCTGGCTTCACATCTCGGTGGATGAAGTTCTTGGAGTGAATATATTCAATTCGACTAATCTAAATAAAATAAAAAATAATTAAAAAAAAAAATCATTGTCGAGAGACCGGGCACACAGCTTCTTTGTTATAAACACACTGGGAACGCTTTCTTAGTGAGAAACACAGCAAAGAAACTCCTTGTAAAGTGTATGGGCACTGAGGAGAACATAATTTAGAAGACAACAGGTAAACCTTCTCCCCAGCTCTTCCCCAGAGTCCATTTTACATTTGTTTCCAAAAACTTTCTTGGAGGAATTTCTTTGTCTCTGAGCAGTCCAACACCTGGTCTGCAAAGAGGACAGGTCCAGTTCTTAAAAACGAAATGAAGACTGTGTAAGCACTTCTGATGGAACACCTTCCATCAAGAGAAAGAGAGTTTTGAGTCTTTAATGATACAGCCTCTTCATCCCTAAATCACAGAAACAGGAAGTTATGCTCTCTCTAGAAATGCTAATATCCCAACACATTGTGCTATGGAGACCAACAAATCACTTTCCTACCATCTGGTCAGCGAGTAGCAGGACTGTCTTGAGACTAAACTTCCTTGAACAAAAATTGAAGAGATCTTCAAGACTCGGTCCCAACAGCTCCATCACCATTACGTTGTAGTCCCCTTCAGCTCCGCACCACTTAATTGTAGGAATACCCACTACAAAAAAGGAAACAGTTGATTCAGTATAACTCCCTGATTTATACAGTTCACACACACAGATCTTGAAGGCTCTGAAGATGAATTCTAAGAGGATCGTTGCTGTTAATGTTTGTATTTACAGCGAAGCTTAACGTTTTATGCCACCTGCAGCTATTCCTAAATGAAAGGGTTGATAATTTCACAGCAGAACCAATATAAAATAACAGCCACACAGGTCTAAAAATAGCCCTTTTCCTATTCCACAGAAACTTCCCAGTCTTTGTGCTTAGCCTGCAACTTGAAAGTATTTAGCATTTTTGCTGGATTTGAACCTCACGCAGTTTACAAGTGTTAATACTCATGTTGTATCCAAGATGGCAATAAGGAAGAAAATTGGAAGTCTGAAAATAAAGACATGACAAACCACTTAATTATTACTGAAGACCTTAGAAATTAACTTTGTTAATCTTCTTCGTTTCAGAGACTACAGGTTCACCATAAAACACCTCTGTCTTCCATTTCAATTTGCAATAAATTTTCACATTAGCTTCATACTCTTATCTTCTCTCCAGTTCCACTGTATTTGCTGTTCGGTGCCTCTCTCCCAGAGCAGTGTTGTTGATGAGATGCCTTAGACATTCACCTCACGAGCGCTAAAATTAGTCGCACTCAATGGAGAAACCCAGGAAAGTTATTTCACACAAAACTCCAAAACTGCTCAAATATTTTGAATGAGACCTGTATGTAGGCAGCCTTATTCACCATTTCAAATGCCTTTACTGTGAGTTAATTTTATGCATTTTAGAAGAGAAACGGTGTAATTCACCCATTTAAAACTCTTATATTTACTGGATATGCATTATTCTTTCTCTGAAATAGAAACCCTTATTCAGATGGCAACTTAACCTTTTCTGCCACCTGCCTCTGCAGCACCCATCCTCAGAAGGAACCCACCATCGTGGCCTTAATCAGCCCATAAAGGAAGCATTTCACTCTGTGAAGGCTGTTCAGGCTACATGCAGGCACAACTGAACCTCAACGCAATTACGCATTTTCATCCACTTACAGCATGATCACTGCACTTTGCACGTGAGATACAGCGTGGAATGTAGTCTTTATGCAAAGTACACCCTCATTTAGGAAGAATTCAAGGGACTACGAAACAAAAGCAAAACTTAACTATACTGACTTTATGTCCTAGAACTGCATGGGAATCTTACATGTGGAGAACTTCCAAGTACGCGAGTTATCCTAGCAGAGTTCCATGCAGCAGCTAGAAAGTTGTTTCACACCTGGTCTCTACTGGTAATGGCAATTTGTCTTAGAATTCCTACCCACAGCAAGGAAATATTTTAACTCCAAAGAAAGAATACTAACACACATAACAAAAATGAACCTGAATTTCCCAAGTCTGGAATTGTGCTACTCTAATAAGCAAGTCAGGTTAAAGACTCCAGAACAGCCATCACCACCTTTCACAGACCCGTGAGAAACAACAGGCGGGCAGTGCAGTGCTAGACAGTACCAGACTTTGTTCCACACTGCCTGAGGGTTTGACGCTTTAATATTCTGGGGTCATGAGCAACGCTATAGGATCTTAGTTGTTGCCATGAAGTTTGGCACCCACGGATCTGGAACTGCTGCTCTACATCGCTTGCAGAACTGGGGTACTGCTCTCTTGCCCTGCCACCCGCCCACCTTCTCCTCAGATGTCAAGAGATCTTCACCATTAAATACTTTCAGGTGGCAGATATATCAAAGACATAAAACCACTTAAATCTCTGAAGAAGGAAAGTAATTTGCTTGCCTCCACCCTGCATCATTTTGTAGATTTTACTCTCGATGTGGAGCTGAGGATGTTTGGTTTTCACACATTCCAACTTAATTGCAACCTCCTCTCCCGCAGCAATATCAGTTCCTAAAACCAGAAGAATTTAAAACAGTGGTCAAAACATTTTTTAAGACGCATTTCCTTTATCAAAGCAAAGCAGATACAGACAAGCCACTCCTCAACGGCAGACATCCAGAGACTAGTCAGCACTTTCAGCCACCGTTACCTAAAACGTCTTCTGAAGTCTTGCAGCCCCTCTGCGCCAGCGCCCTAGTTGGTCGGTCAGGGGTGGTTAGTCAGTCCAAACAGACTAGCAGCTTAAGAGACACCTATTAGACACCATAGCACAGGTAGCCAAAACTGCTGCTATCCCATCCCAAAAAGCCCCACGAGTGCATCTTCCGAGGGGTGTCTCTGCACTCCCGGGCTATGGTAGACGTGCTCGGATTGCATGTTCCGGGGTGTGGCATGTATCCCCACCGACCCAAGAAATGCTAGGAATTCAGATCACCTCTTACCTGTGCTTGTCCCCTGTTGGGGACTTTGATCTCCACTAAAAACCTAGGACGACATTTCTAAAGTAACTGTAACAACCAAAAGCCTAGCTTCCTTTAAGGAAAACAGAGTAGTATTAAAGAGATAGCAAGAAGCAGTATTATGAGAAAAATCAGTAATTAAAACGTAGTAAGAAGCAGTATAATGAGAAATCACCATTTGTAAATGACAAAGAAAGTCCAGAGCGACGAAAGGATGTTCCTGCAAACTACAAAATTCCAATTTACGTGGAACTGCAAAACACTACAGCATAAGGAAAGCCTTGGAAATTATTTTAATTCATTTACAACCCAAAACTCAATTCTTTAGAAAAATATGCATGTAATGCAAAAACTGTGGAAACGTAGCGACTGCACTGCTTTTGTGACTCTGATCTGTGACCTCATGCACCCAGCAACAAACCAAACGCTCACTCTGAGCCCCCCCTGTCCCCGTCCATCTTTTATACTATTTAGAATCCCTGGGAATTCGTTTCTTTCCTATCCTCCTCGGGAGGGTAATTTCAAAAGATGCAGGTACACTAAACTCCTAAACCTGATTTTTCTTTAAATTGCCCACACTCCTTTATTTCTGACAGTGCCTTACATCTCAAAACCCTGTCCCACAAACCCTGTCATTCTCAGCAAGCGGAGCTGAGGCCATTCCAAATTCCAGGAGACGTATTCTAAGGTATGATGGAGAACAGGAAAGATTATGAAAGAGCTATGATAATAAACTGAGTCGTCAGCTCCATATTCCAAAGAACGGAACGAGGAAGGAATGAAGGCTCCTCCCCTTTACCCTGAAACAGGCCAAAATAATAAAATCTTCCTTTTCAAAGCAGAAAACCGAGCCGGAAATTACAAAGAGGTAAACTACAAATGCACTAAGGGCTACCAGAAGGCAGGTGTCCTTTAAAAAGCCATTAGTCCTGAAGGAATTTTAAAATCGATGTTAGGGCACAAACGTCCTGCTGTTGAGTCTGAACAACCAAGTACAAACTTGCCTCTTTTTTTTTATTTCACTCTCACAAAATGGCCAGATTTTGAGCATCTCTGCTCTACCAGACAATGGCAGGCAAACCAAAAGGGCCTCTACAGAAGGCGTCAGTTCTTGAGAGACAGCAATTTGCCCTGAATAAAGAAACCCAGGCCATTAGCTGGATCTTCCAGGCATATAATTCTCCGGTAGGTCCTGGCTGGGGCATGGCATTTGCAGCAAGACCTAAAAGTAAAGCCACACCGGCTACTTAGAGAGAAACAGAAGAGGTCAAGAGCCGAAGATGAGAAATTCTGGTGCAAAACGCAGCATGGCGGGAGCACTCATCAGAGAACAGTTATTTCCTGTGCAACTTCACTGGTGTGGGCTGTACACATAAAGAGAGAAGTGACAAATTAAAAAAACGTTTGTTTTACTTGCAGTTGAAATTTGCACTGCAACACAGTGATTTACCCGTGCAGAACTCACGCTGCTGAAGTAGGAGTCAAACCGTCTACGATTTTTGAGAGTTTTACTGCTGTCTTACGCCCCACCCAAAACCCCAGCGCTAGCCGATGAGGACTTTTTCACAAGCATCACCACCATCTTTCTCACATGTCTTCCATCTTTTGTGCAAGCGCCGCATGACCTTCCGCCTCTGGAGAGCCACCTGCCTGCAGCTCCAGCCATGGGTTTTTCACCTGGCATACGCTCTGTATTACGGATGGCAGGATTTCCTTACCTGTACACAAGCGGCTTGAGCTAACCAGCGACTCTGGAATGTCCGCTGTGTGCTGCAACACCAAGCACTGCTGTCCAGGAAGCAAACACCCTGTGTACGCTGCCAAACGCACCGCACGCGTTCGCTGCTGACGCGTTACGCTCCAGACGTAAGCGGTCAACATACCTTAGCCCCTGCAAGTTCCACCCCCTGGCTTTTTGACTGGCTCTTCCAAGTTACCACAGTTTTCAGATGCAGAGTACTCATTGCTATGTGGCAGGCTAACTTTTCTGGATTTAACACATTTCTTATGGTTTGAGAGCTTGCAAAATACACCGAGTATTTTAAAGAGACTTGCTTGCCAAACTTGTACTCACCGCTGCGTGTCATACTCTTCAGCAGAAAGCCATGATGGCAGCTACATAAACGGAGAGGCAAAGACAGTGCCAATCCTGCAAACTTCCCGCTTGCACAGGAATCGCGGTAGCAGAAGACATA